ACGACGGGAAACACAGAGTTTCTACCTCCCACCGATAGAGATAGAGCTGCAGTAGGCTTGTGGTTTCGGCATTATATGGCTAGATCGATAAATTCGAGACGTTGCCTACCTGCATCCGCGTTATGAAAGTATCCATTGTTAATTGGTAAGTCAAATGCAAGTTTTGTTAACATATATACTCCTTTTGGTTTGAAAATGTTTGGTTAAGTACCTAGAATTCAATAATTTGCTGTTTGTAGGTTTTAGATGTGCATGAAGTCTTGTTTGAGCAAATGTTTGGTTTATGCAGGTTAATCCTTAAGTGAGTTGCGAGAAATTGATGTACGGGTGCAAAAGTTGATTCATTGATTCAATAATTGATGAGGAAATAAGAATTATTATTATTTTTTGATTGTTTAATTAATTTGTAAAAAATGATTTGTAAAATGTTGATTTGTTTAATTGATGTGTACATAATTCTTATTTGTGCTTGTTTAATTGATTGAAATGTAATAGTTGATTTGTTGATTTTCAATCTGCATTATGTTGAAGGCAAAACAGACTGTCGCAACACGAAACTGACTATCGCAACGAGAGAATCGCAATGCGAAATGAAAATCGCAATGCGAAATGAAAATCGCAATGCGAAATGAAAATCGCAATACGAAATGAAAATCGCAACGAGAAAATCGCAATGCGATTTTCATTTCGCGTTGCGATTTTCTCATTGCGATAGCCATTTTCGCGTTGCGATAGCCATTTTCGCGTTGCGATAGTCATTTTCGCGTTGCGATTTCCCCGTTGCGATAGTCAAATGAATGTCTAATAAGTGATAACATCTGAATAGATCATAACAATGTTCAAACTCAAGTTACTAATACATGCCTAACTGAAAATGTTAAAAGTGCACACATAAAATACACATAATACAACGTTTGCATTTAAAAATCACCTAAGTTAACAGTCCCAAAAGGTGAAGCCGGTTGTGATTGGGATTTTGAAGATGATTGCGATTTTGATTGCCTTTTGCTTGACACCATATGAGCTTTGGATTTTGGTGAGGATCCATATTTTGGTAGAGGAAAAGATGATTGTGATGGCACTGGTGAACCACATGTCAACCTTATATGACCACTTTCCTTGCACCGACTACATGTCGATCTCATTGCGAAAGTCAGAATCGCGTTGCGAAAGTCAGTATCGCATTGCGATTTTGTATTATCGCGTTGCGATAGTCAGTATCGCATTGCGATTTTCCAAATTCGCATTGCGATTTACTTATTCTCATTGCGAATTGGGAAAATCGCAACGCGAAATTGGAAAATCGCATTGCGATAGTCATAATCGCGTTGCGAATCTGGAAACTGATTTGCAATAATGGAGATCGCGTTGCGAATTAGCGATCGCATTGCGATTTTGTTGGTCATTTTGGCAAATCCGGAAAAAGTTGGTTAAAATCGTATATTATATGGGATTTTTGGTCACTGAGGTTATTTTCTCTTTATCATATGATCTTGTACTTATCATTTCTATATATCATGTATCATTCCATATACTCAATTCACATATATATATATATATATCATTAACGTGCTTATCGGTACTTATATTACTATCTCTAATTTCTTTTTATCATATAAACATATACTAAACATTTCTATACACATCATGGATCACATATATCATTTCACAACATAACACACATAGTGTCATACCAATTAATTTATTTACTCTCTTTAAAGCCCTTGTATTAGCCCATGTATACTTTTGAGAACTTAAGGTATGTGAGTACATTGAGGTTGTGCACCACTATGCTGTCACTACAGCTCGTATAAATGTCCCGAAGGACCAGTCCATAGATTCCGAAGAACCTAGGTAATCAGTCCATATGTCTCGAAGAACATAGGTAAATAGTTCATATATCCCGAAGAACATAGGTAAACCCTCGACCCTGCCAACTATACCCCTGGCTCTCATATCACATAACATGGGCATTATCATTTATAACAGTTCACATTACTTATTCATATCCTTTCTCTTATAAACACATATATTTTCTTTTCAGTCACGTATCACATGTACGTGTAATCATTGATCTTATAATCACATGTTCCTTCTCTTCTAACACATACCACATGTATGTGTAAACATATATCTAATATCATATAACACGTATCACAAATGCATGTATTCACATAGATCATTTCATATGGCTTTTATCATTTCTCATTTGTTCATGTAACCTTGTATGTCATATCAAGTAACATATATCATATGTTGCATTTCCACGTAAGCATGTAAATCATGTAACATATAATAGCATACATCCATTTCTATGTACTAATGCACATATAAGAATCACATCAATCACATAACATTTTAGGAGTCACTTCTTACCATAGTAACTCCGTCACTGGCTCATCGCAAGCCAATGTTTGATCAATAACATAAGTACAATTAAATTGCACTCACCTTAGCCTTGCTTTCTTTGAATAAATCTTAATCCTTCGATTGTTCCAGAATTCGTTTAGGCTCTGTATCTACATAAATATAATTTTCAAGACGATTATCAGAAACCTAAACCTTATACTTCAATTCTATTAATTTAAACGAATTTAATAAACTCATATTTCTAATTTCCTTTAGGAGTGTACCGATGCACTATGGATGCATCAATACCCAAATTAGGTTCGAAATTCCCATGCATCGATGCACACCTTAATGCATCGATGCACCTTCAAATTTTGTCTTAGTGCATCGGTGCCCATTCATAGTGTATCGATGCACTCGTCAATTATAAACTGATTTCACTCGAAAATTTCATAACTTCTCACTAAAATTCTTCATGTTTCATTCCCTTTTCTATTCTTAACTCAAGTACATATACTTAAACTAATTTCTACTCATTCAATACACCTTTAACCTTAAAATTCTATCTTTCATATGGAAATCAATAATCATACCAAATTTTCCATGTTATCCAAACTTTGATTTAACACTTATAACTTCTTATTCATGCCTATGACAAGTCAAATTCAACCTCCAAATTCATTTAAACACTCTTATTCAAAATTTCACTTATCCACTTCTTATCTTTAATCCTTCATAACTTACAAATCTTTGAGTTTTTATAACCTTTTGCATCTCCATCATCTTTCCTAAAGCTTCATGAATCAAAACCATGCTTGAATTTGAAGGATTAACCAAAAGAAATCAAACTTACCTTGGGCTTGGGTGCTTCACGTTTGGGAGAAGAAGAAGATAAAGAAGATAAGTCTCTCGAAACTTATCTCCTCAATTGTGATTCACATGGGTATTATAATACCCACTAACCATTATTTAATTATTTCCTTGTTCAATGACTCATTTGCCTTTTTATTCTTTTAATAATTACTAACAACCCTTCAGGAAATACTTTCCAATAAATCATTAAACTATTCAACTTTTTCACTTTAATCACCAAATTCTGAAATTTTACAATTTGGTCACTAACCCGGTATTGAGGATGTTACAAAGACACACTCACCCCAAATCTTAAAGGTACTCTAGACTGAAAACGAAGTGCACAAGCAACTTCCAAGAGGTGTTTGTGTTTCCTTTCAGCTACCCCATTCTGCTAAGGAGTATCAACACAAGAGGATTGATGAAGAACCCCTAAAGAAGAGAAAAAAGAAGAACACTTTGTACTAAAGAATTCAAACATGTTATCACTACGAAATGATTTTAACAGAAGCTTGAAAATGATTATGAATAAAGGAGAAATGCTTTTTTAAAGAAAGAAGAGCATTATACTTGAGCTTCAATAGATACACTCAGGACATCTTAGTATAGTCATCAACTATTGTAAGAAATAACCTATGCCCATTATGGGTAGAAAATCTATAAGAGCTCCACAAGTCCACATGAATCATCTAAAAAGGAATTTCAAACTTAGAATGACAAATTGAAAAAGATAATCGTGTCTGCTTGGCTAGAGGACAGACAAAACAAGAATGAATAGTAGGAGCATTCAAATTACAATCAACAAGCAAAGGCATATTATGCAATTTCAAAAAAGAAGCATGACCTAACCGAGCATTGCCAAATATATGTTTTATTAACAGAAGAAGACATATAATGAGATATAATATTGGATGTCATACTTGAAACTTTAGAAGCATAATCCGAATAAAATAAACCAGATGACTCAAGAACATATAAACCTCTTTGTTTCCTACCAATTTTCAACATCTTGCCACTGGAGAGATCCTGAAAGATGCAAAAATAAGGATAAAATTGAAAAACACAATTTAAATCAAGAGTTAATTTGGAACAGACAACAAATTGTGATTTGGAGAAAGAAATAAAGAAAATTTGAGATTTTAGGCCTTTTGAGCAAAAATTTGGAGAAAGTTATTATTGAGAAAAATGTTCATGAGAGTTTGATGATGACAACCCTTATATTTGATTACCTAATTGGTTAGGAAAAATCGTGGTTTAATGTTAAATTCTTTTTTATAATTTTAATATTTATAGTTAATAATCTTTACAGTAGATAGTTAAAAGCTATCGGGTGACATCTTTTCTCTCCTTTAAATTGTGAGTTCAATACTCATTAGGAGCACAATTTGTCTTTCTCCCCCTTTAGATGAAAAATATTTCAAAAAGAAAGTTTATATAAACTTTCCTACTAAATTTATAGTTGTTCCTACAATTCATAACTAATAATTCTTCGCTAACAAATCATAAAAGATAAGAAAAAACACACATTAAAAATAAGAAAAAATTGAATTGCAAAACCAATTTATTAGAATTAAGTGCAATGGATGATATTACTATAGAAGCATATTACAAACTTTATTACATTTCTACAACATTAAAGAGTAGTAAGACTGTTATTTATAAAACAATAAACAACTCTTACCGATAGTCATGTAATCTATTGATAGAATGATTATACTTGGATAACATTATATAAACAACTCCTAAACCTATCGCAAACTTCTTATTCGAAGGAAAGACTTGATGAGAACATAGAAAAACAAATTTTAGGGTGAAATATCAGAACTGGTCCATCGGAATGGGCTCAAGGATTGACTTCACACACTCTTGATTTTGATCGGTTTGAATGCCAAAGAAATCCCCATATTTGTATAACCTATGAACGCATCGTATCATTAGTGCGGCAAGTTTGACAACGGCGGGTGCCCTAATTGAATCTTCAATTATTGCTTTGTTGAGTTTTTTCCACAAATTTATCAATAAACCTTGTACATGATCACTTGCTTCTTCTTCTGTCACTCCTTTTTGAATCATGTAAAAATGTGTGAAATTCATTGATTCTCCTCTTTCCATTTCTTTCTGCACGTAAAATGTGGCTTAATATATAGTATTAAAATAGAAAAAAAAAACCGATTTCAGACAATATTGTAACAAACCGTGGCAGTTTCTAAATCGTCAATGAATCGGCCAAAGTAAGCAGGCACACAAACTAAATCACTGTGAGGCCAATCCTTCACAAATTCCGACAAGTATTGATCTATACTGTGTCCTGTCACTCCAAAGATTCCATATATGATAGAAATAACAATGCCGATGGATACAAATGCGTTCTCTAGATATTCTTCTGCCACTTGGTGTGTATCCACTGTGCAACCATTGTGCTTCCTTATAATATGTTCCAATATAATGCTTCCACTACAAAAAGAAAAGTTTAATGTATGAATATATGAATATGATTTTGGATTTTCTGTTCAACTGGACCGTACCTGTTCCTTAAGGTAGGGTAGAATTTCGATACCATTATCTGTCAAAGCATCTTGGACCATTTCACTAACATGGTTGTACATGGCTTCATAGATAAATTTCATGTATTCTGGAAGTTCGTCCACTGCTTTAAGATCCCATCTGCAATTCGAGATAAATTTTGACATAACAAGTCGATATTAGATTATCTATCTATCTATATCTATCTTATATATATGGGATAAGATCATGTTACACAACGTAAAACTCTTTAGTTTTATACAGATTTAAGACTGTTTGATGAGTGAAAATAGATGATTTAGATTAACAGTAGAATATGAGAAAATATTCACAGGGAAAAAAACAATGAGTTAATCTCAGTCATCTATTTTCACTCATCTATTTTCACCCATCTGACGGTCCTAAATCTGTATAAAACGAAAGAGTTTTACATTGTGTAAATGGATCCTAACCCTATATATATTACCTATTCACTGCATCCATGTATTTCTCAAGCTCATCAAGTGATCCATATGTGTCAAATATGTCATCTAAGGGAGCTGCCAAGCATCCAAATTTTGCTATATTTCTTCTACACTGGGAAAATTGGGATTTTTATTAAATTTTGCTATATGGATCCTAACCCTATATATATTACCTATCCTTGCGTTAATGCATCCTCATTTTTTGGGATTTTTATTAAATTTTTAATAGGTTTTTTCAGATTTTTCTCTTTTTTTTTTTTTAATTTGGCTGTCATTATTGACTTGAGGTGATGACGATGGAGTAGTTGACCGATGATTGGAATCGTCGAGAATGTGTGGCCGGAACAGTGGCGGCGGCGTGACTCTTCATATGCTGGCGGTAACGGCGGCTAAAAACATTGATGTGTCACAAGGTGAAGTCAATGGACTCAAAATGCAGTTCAAACCAATACAAACATAAATTTTTGCAGTATCGTGTTGTATTTTTCTTGGTTCACTCATTCGCTACGACCATCAATTGTCAAGATTTCCCAGGTTTAGCTTCACAATTCACGTTTTCCAGGATCTATTGCTTTGATGTGTCGGTGGAAAAGAAAAGTCATGAACAAAGATCCTAAAAATAATCCTTGAATTTAGATTTAATTTTGATATACATCAATCAATAATTTAATTGGAAAAATATTTTTTGTGTGTAAATGATGTGGATAAAAAATCGATGTAGAGGTAAAATTATTAATAATATAATAAAAGATTTCATGAAATAAATTTTCGTAAAAATGAGATGAAAATTGAAATAAAAAATTAAATACTTTTACTTAGCAGTTTGGGCAAGTCATTTACTATAAATTTAGTTTGGAAAATATATAAATTTTATCTGATAAATTTGAGTCAATAGTTTATTAGTTGAAAACGAAATTCATAATGAGGGGACGTGGAATTATTTTTCTCCACAAGTTATGCACGTTTAATTTAGTAAGACTTGAAATTTATTCGTAATTAATTTTTGAAGACTTGAAATTGTGAATGGCAAAGTGGAATTGAATATTATTTTTTACGCGTGTTTTATCTGTGTTTATTTAATAAACGAATACCCTTTTTAAAATCGCATCACGATTTCTAAAATTAAGTCAATGTTGTGTTACTAGGCACAATAGTTGATATCTCACGTTTATGCTAGGGGTAGAATGCTATCGGTCTTAATAAACGAATACTCTTTTTAACTTTGTATTTGTAATGATTTTTAAATTAAATAAAATTCGAACTCAAAGTTTCCAATTTTAAATATAGGGTAATCAACTAGATACCAATTTTTGAGTGCTTGTGGGGTGCTAATTATTCCATACACATAACTGACTCCCGAACATGATTTTTTGATTTTCACATACCTCAAAACTTTTTAATAAAAATAAAATGTTTTATTAAAATCACTCGGTTTTCATGGTGTCCCAATTACACCTTAAATGATTGGTGGCAACTCCTTGCATTTCGATAAATCATTTTAAAAGAGAAAACCCCGAGTCGGTATCGGTCTTTCCTCGCCCGAGCGAAAAACGGTGTCGACAAATAGTAGTCAAATATAATAAAATAAATGAAATAATTATATAAGGTATTTCATAAATATAAATAAATATGCATACATAAAATAATATAATAAGACAATGAAAAGTATAAGGATTAAAACATATTTAAACCATTCGAAACAAGGATTAAATCACAACATTTCAAAATAAAAAGGACTAAACATGCTAATAAATCATATCATTCATAACAATATATAAAATCAGCAACGATTAAAATTAACAATCCGAAAATAACATATCTAATGTACAAACAAGCATAAACTCGAAATAACTAAGATTAAGAATCAAAATATAACACGTACAAAACTTAGGGAACAAAATTAGAAACACAAACGATTTAATTAGGGACTAAAATACAATTGTACAAACCCAGAGACCACCCTCGAATTATTTACCCATGTGCGAATATGGTACAACCCTAACCCCACTAAACTACGTCGTTTTGAGACTTATATATATATCATATTATAAGTTTTTTTTGGCTAACCTAGCCTCATTTTCCCCTCCATTCAGTCGTTCCCTTCTCCCTTTTATCTCAACTTTTCATTTTTTTTCACAAGAGAATACCAATCAGTGGCCACAAACCATCGTGGCCACCACCGTACGCCTCCCCGACGAGGGGCCAATCTCACTCGAAACACCCTAAATACCAACCCCTAACTCCTTTTTCTTCTAAACTGAGCTTATTGGACCCTAAAACTCCTCAAAATGTAATCCATATTAAAGGAGATAACTAATACGTCGAACCCACCCTCGTCGCCGGTGAGAAGCCTTAAACCCGAGGTGAAGCCTTAATTCAGCACGAATTAAGTGATCTTAGTGATTAAAGGATTGTTGTTATCATTGAGGTCTCGAGTTCGAGCACTGCTCATGTTGGGATATGAGCGTTTATTGTCAAATAGTTGAGAGTCTTTGTACATATATTATCTTGTATTCCCTCTAGATTTATATATAAAAAAACTCAAAATTTACGAGATAACATTTAATTTGTGTAATATTAAAACTTACAATAACCTAAATTATTATTAGATCAAAACTTTTAAAAACACGGGTCGGACTTTCATTATGCCTTGTTCAAGTAACAAGGTCTATTTCGAGAAAAAAGTGGGGGATTCATTAGCTAGAGCAAAGGGCTATTTCGTTAACTCGAGGAAGAGTGAGTACTAGTCCTGGCATTTAAAAGACTAGTTACTCTCTTGTCTGTATCCGAGAGAGCAGCAAAGCCCCCGGAGCTGTATAAAGAGAAAGAAGTCAGTGAACTTTTTTAATTCGACCTACTTGATTAAATCTTTAATATTTTTTTATATTTTTTAATTTAAATATTTATTTTTACATAAACCAAAATACTATTAGACCAAAATTATATTGAATATATAAATTTTAACAGGGGACGAGGTCCCTTTGGACCCTCACTAAGCTCCACCCCTAAATGGTAAGTTGTTGGGCGACGTTCGGTGAAAAGAAATACCAGTTTCCTCTTGATATAGCTCTTCAAAGATAGTATACATTGAAGAACACAATTTTTCGAGATGAATATGATCATCAACGGTTGATTTTGATGGTTGCTACTAGGATGAATTTGAATCTTATATAAATTAATTATTCCAATCCTAAATGAAAATCCTTAAAATAATTATAAATTTTTAAAAAATATATAATTTAATTAGATTCCTATTAAAATTTAAACTAAATAATAAAAAAATATTAATTGTGGATAGATCATTATATTTTTTCATATTTATTTAATAATGACAATTTAATTAGTGACATACATTGGTGTGTCACATTAGTGATATGTTTCGGCATGCGACACTTATTCTAGAATTTTCCTTAAAACTAGTAAATTCTTTGAATAGAGTCTCTGATGATTATAAAATAATATATGTTTAAAATATTTATTTGATATCATCAACACATACACCTATAAATACAACTGCTTAAATTTAAGACCTTAAAAAAAACTATATTTAATCATTAAAATCATTTGATGAATTCTACTCTTAAAACTAATATTAAATGGTGCAACTTGCGACGTGGGACATTAAATAATGCCAAATCTTTTGGTTTTTTGGTTCGAAGTCGCCGTTCTCGGTGTTGAATTCTTTACGAGTCAATAGTATATATAATTCAATAATAAATAAGAAACGAAAACTCAACACCTGCTAACTAGATTCATTTAATTTAATTCAATTATCAGAAAAGAGGCTATAAACTGTGAAGCTCTATTAAGTTTACCAGTTGGCTGCACACCAATAATAGTTTATTTGATTTGGCTATAAATTGATTATAAAGAACAGTTGAACCAGCAGACTGATAGTGCATTGCCCGAAGCAAGAATCTGAATCATCCCCTTTTGTTGTAAAATGGACCCTCAAATCCTACTGGCAATCATCCTCTTTGCCTTGACAGTTGTTTGGATATGGATGAACAAATCCAGTAGCAAAACACAACAAGGAAAACTACCCCCAGGGCCATGGAAACTGCCTCTCATTGGCAACATGCATCACTTCATTAGCTCCCTTCCACATCGTTGCCTCAGAGATTTGGCCAACAGACATGGCCCTGTCATGTACTTACAACTTGGCTAGCTTTCCAATTTCGTTATTTCTTCACCGGAAGCAGCTCAAGAAGTGATGGAAACACATGACCTGAATTTCGCTAGCAGGCCATATCTTCCTGCTGCAAGGATCCTGTTTTACGATTTCACCGATATCGGTTTCGCTTCTTATGGAGACTACTGGAGGCAGCTGAGGAAAATTTGCGCTTTGGAACAGTTGAGAGCTAAACGAGTTCAGTCTTTCCGAGCTATCAGGGAAGAATAGATATGGAATTTCGTTTCTTTCATTCGTTCCAAGGCCGGATCACCTGTTAACCTTAGAAAATTGTTGCGGGCATTGACGTCTAATATCACCGCCAGGGCTGCCTTTGGTGCAAAATGCAAAGACCGTGAAGCTTTCTCTCAAGTGGTCCAGGAAGCAGTCGAGATTGTTGGAGGTTTTAGTCTTACTGATGCCTTCCTGTCCGCAATTTGTGAGTACTATAAAGAAGTGCGGATATGTGTGCAAGTATACACAATCGAACAAGTAATAAAGTGATGAGTATCGTCTCCACAGGAAATTGGAGAAATCAAATAGATTTGTAAAGGCACTTTACTTTGTCACCTAAATAAAGTTAGTGATGGTATATACAAATGAGAATGCTGTGGCAAAATAGAATGACTGATGCGGAAATAGAATGATGGTAGTGCTGTAGCAATTGAATATGTTGTGGCAATTTAAATTGTGATACGTGCAAGCAAATGGAAATGTCAAGGCAAAATAAAATGCAAATATTGGATTTAATAAATATAGAACTTTAGCTTTCTCACACGACAAGCAGCAATGGGAATGAGTGATGGGAGTCAATATGGAAAACCTAAGTTTACTTCTCAGAATGGCTTTACTTCTATGCCTAGTCTGCCCGACAGAGTCTCCTAAGGTGCCCTAAGCTATCTCTAGTAAGGGACTCGACAGATTAAAGATGTCTTGGCAAAACCAATTG